ATCAGCTTGTGCTATGCTATATAATGATATTTTATAAAAGTTAAAATAGACAGCGGAAGGTAATTCTAAAGTCAACTGAAATATCCGCATCGCTAATTATTATTTTCTTATTCTTTGAAAATGTAAAATAAAAATTTAATAAATTACAGCGTAGCTTTAAAAAGGATGTGGAGTTTTGTAAAATAATTAATTTTATAAGCTTCAGCAAGTATTTTCTTGAATTTAACGCTGAATTGAATAAACTTGGTATTTAAATTACGGGAGAATAAACCTCGTGTGTCGAAAAAATATGAATAAATTTATGAGATTTGTCCAGGAAATTCTATAACTTGCAGAACTAATTATTTAATACCCGATGAGCTGTAAGGAGTAATTATTTTATTTATTTCAAATCAAACCTAAACAATTTTCTTTATAGTTAGTTTGATTAAATATTAATATTTATTATGTTTAATATAATTTTAACAATTTTATGAATCATTAAAACACTTTTAGAGATCAATTTGCTTTGATAACTTGGTCAATGGTTTTAAGATTAATTTAAATATTCAAAACTTTCTGAATATGGTGATATATTAATAAAATTACATCTTTAAAAACGAGAGTGCTCAGCTGATGATTAGGTGTAATCAAAGCATTATAAGTTTAGATTTCTGGTATATTGATTTGAAAGATTAATTAGTTTTAGTGAATTTGTTTTTCGGTTTTTATTCCGTTAATATATATATATTTCATTCTAAAAGACTTTGAGAATCTCCCTCAGACTTGAATTGCTGATCCTGAGTAGTTATCGATCCTGGTGGGCACCCAGAAATGCTGCCACTTGGGGTTACACAACTGTTACGTTATAGACAAAGGATGCCGCTTGGGGGTTATATAACTATTATACAGCATACAAGTTATGCAGACACCTAGGCAAACGGTGTTACTAAGGTTCAATAGGTAGATTGTCTTTTTAAGGATGGTGTTTGTATAGGTGAATGGGCTTACTAAAGATAGTGTTTCTATAGGCGAACAGTATTACTATACTTCTGTTGAATGGCATACAGATTTTAACTTGTCTCAACTTATGTTTATAGATATATATTATATAGTTAACTGTATTACATGTGTTTTACAAAGGTGAACGGTGTTACTAAGAGGATGGTGATACTAAGGTTCTATAGGCGGACAGTGTTCTTCAGGTTCTAGAGGCAAATGATGTTACTAGGATTCTACAGGCTAATGGGGTTTCTATAAATGGATAGTTTAATACGATGATAGGCTCATCAATGGTTGTCTCAATGTGTCTCAACGTGAGATTACGTCATCAACATTGTAGTCTAAATTAAATTATGTGTCCTAAAAAATTGCAAGTAGAACCATTATTTTAACGAGACAACTATTATAGCATGTTTTTTTATATTTTGCATGTCAGTATTTATCACACATACTCTCTTAATTTATCCATTATTTGAAAGAGGCAAATATTGTAGCCAGTCATTTGCTTTATATACTTTAATCATACTTAATGTTTTGTTTATATAAATACTGGACGAGACAGTTGCATTATTATTCTACAGCCGATTGTGTTTTTTGTGATTTATACATTTAACGTACGGTAGTATACTTTTTACTTCTATAATTAATTTGCATAACAATCTTTTATAGAATTATCGTCCTGAAAAGGGGCCGATTTTTATGATAACATAATTATTTAAATTTCTAAATAATTTAATATTCATGTTTACTATTCTTATCTTTCTGTAGGCATTTTGACAAATCTTTGACTAGAGCTTGTTTGTTGCTGGTTTAGAATTTTATGCTTATAAGCTCGATAAGTAATATTCTTACTATTAAGAAAAACGAATGTTTAATACAGATAGATAGGTCATTTTTTCAATCCTACTGCTGACACATCCCAGCTGATGGCATGTTGAAGAAGACATATTCGTCTAAGGCTATAACCTTAGTCAGTATATCGATAAACTTCGATTTTAGGAAACACAAAGGGTCATTGGCAGGAAAGGTTGTCATGTGCAAAACAATCAGTGGTAATTAACTTTTAATATGTAAATACTATGTTTCATATGTGATTAGCTAATTTTATTTTTGCGAAACATTAACTAGGATAATTGTTTTGTACAGATGAATACAGTCCCCCGGTGGGACAGCGTTAAGTTTACGGACTTACAACGCTGTGGATACAATAGACAGCCCAATGTGGCTTTGCTCTAAAATAAATAAACATATGAACACAGGCGAAAAGATCTAAATAAGACTATATTAAAGAAGCAGCAAAAGGAAAAATGGATCGCAACCGCAGTGTATTTATTTATATTATTTACTTGTGTTTCAGCTATGAATATACTCCAATTTAACGTAATCAATTTTATATCCCACAAAAAAAGTAACATAGACAAATTCCAGGGTTGTTAAAGCACCTACAGATAAACAGATATCAGTGGGAATGGGCTTCAGCGACGTAAGAGCATTAAACTTACAACAAAATGATCAACATCCAAACACAGATATGGGAAAGTAAAATTATTTATTCATGTTCTGGGACAAATAATAATAATATTATTAATTAGAGTTGAGCTATTTTTGCAAGTGCTAGTTTATCATGTTACAAGTAATTATTTTCGATGTAGTTATATTTAGTTACTTTATTTTTATTCCAGATTCGACGTCTTCTGAGCTTGAAAGGAACACAAATTAATTGAATGACTATATGGTTTCATAGAAAAGCCTCTGTCAGAAATATATTTTTTAGTGTCTACTATAATTTGTAAGTTAATACTAAGCACCAATAGTTTGTAATTAAAAATATTGGTATTCTTGTCACTCCTGAAGTAACTTTCTTATCCATGTGTTACTCGTCTTATGTTAGACAATCCCTAATGGATTTTGTTCCCAAGAGGTTTGTTCTTGCGTAGAATTTGAAACTTAGTTTATATTTTAATCCCTAGTCACAAAAAAGTGCTTTCAGAGATTAAGTTCACGGGTGAGAAAAAAATGCAAATAAAACGAAATAGTTTTAAATGAATTATTAATTTTCTCTATGGTATTAATACTCAAGTGTGTCAGATATCATATGTTTTACTGCAAATGAAATGATTGATTAAATCTAACATATGGTTTCGAAATTCGAGCTAATATCATGTGAAAATATTGGGGAAAATGAAAAGCAAAAATGTCAAAACAGTTCGCTATAATCACTTACAAAATCAAACAATACACAGAGTTTCCTGTTCATATCATAATACCCATACTATATACTACACAGTTTGTTGCACTTTAGAAATAAAAAAACGTGAAATGCAAAAATATCCAGAGAACCTTTACAGTTCAAACGTTATAATAGTGTTGTGCATGCCACTGTAATACATTTAAATAAAGATATAATTGATAATTTCTTCTATATATAACCTAGGTTTCAAATCAATATTTAAGCAGTATTACATAAAATGTTCCCCGGTGGGACAGCGGTAAATCTTCGAACTTACGATGCTAAAAACAGAGATTCGATTCCCCTCGGTGGACATAGCAGATAGCCGGATGTGGGTTTTGCTAAAAGAAAACACACATACACATTATACTAAATCATACAAGGTATTATCTTTCTCATACGTTTTAAGTAAATGTAATAATTTTAAATTCCGTTGGAAATCAATGAAAGGACACTTTCAAACATTAACTCGAAAAACATCTATAAGTGAAAAGAGACTCTCGAACCTGGGCTTTAACCCATGACGTCTGGCTAACAGAGCCAGCACTTTAATAAAAAGGAAAGTAGGTTTATGATAGAACTTGTATAACTTAGTTGAGTGGTGATAAATCAACCCACAACATCGAACTTATTATGTTGACTATAGTCAAAGTGAAAAAAGAAAGAAAAAAATCATCAAGGACAAACAATGACACGGGGTGACCTGTAATCTGGGATAGTTCAGTGGTAGAGTACTGGCCTTAGTAGCCAGTGGTTCTCAGTTCAAACCCTAGTCCCTTTTCACTTATCGGCTTCTTCAGGCAAGCTCAAATGTAATCATAGGAGAGAGAAAAAGGTCGCATGCCAAAACTATTTTTGTGAAAGTTGTTTGTTAGCATGATTAATTACACTTGAACGCTCTAAAGAGAATGTAAAATAAAGTGGTGCTTATCTCAAAGTGGACAGATGAAATTTTCATATTTCTCAGAAAAGGGCGTTTACCAACAAGGTATTCAACAAGATCTTAAATGGGGGTTGGTGCATTAGCCACCACCCTTTAGAGTGTTAGACGGAAGCTTCCCTGGAGTGATTAACCGATTATCCTTGGCACGAGCACCACCATTTTAGCACGACACGGGAGCATTTACTTACGGAAGTAAAAAAAAGATGAATTTGTGTCATGAAAAGTGCAAAAGGTTGTAAAAGTGCAAATCGGAAATTATGGGTGTGTTATGGTATAATCTTGTAGTTAGAATATTATGATTGATCGCATACATTCGTTGATAGACACACCTCAGATGTATCTCACTGTTCAAAGCGTTAAAGTCTATCATTTTCTGCTTTGTAAAATAGCATTCATTTCACCTTAACCAGATCTTTACGGTCTAGCCATAGATTAAATTGTTGTTTTGTTGTTTTTTTCATGATTGGAGGATAAAATGATTTTACAAAATATTATCTAAAATAATACTACTCATGCGTATTGTACGAACAAGTGCAATCAGAGGAGGTAAAAAGAGTCACAAGGTCTTAGAGATTATAAAACAAGGTTTTGATGTATTTGAAAATTCGAATTATTTTAAGATAAGACATTAATCGTGTAAAAGTCGTATGTGTAATTTAACGTCAATAATTGTTTATTTGAATATCGTGCTATGAGGTGCTACTTTTACTATTGGATTCATTGTTATCACACTCACAATTTTCACTTTTTGTCATTGATAGTGTTATCAGTATGTAGTGTTAGTAGACGAAATTGATTTGGTTCAATTTTTTAATAGAATGTTTTATTTTTTTTAGCACACACTGTTTTTGAAAACGATACATTATATGATTATATGATGCACTACACATGTTACAATACAGCTTACCCAAATACAGGAAGGAAATTCATTTTAAGTAACATTAAATAATAATTTATACACTCAGGAATTTATCTGTAACATACATATATATATATTTCTTACAAATATGAAAGAGCTTAAGGAAAGCAGATAGCATTACAAATATATGTACACAAGCTAAAATTCTAGTACATTCTGTTCATATCATGCGTATTTTATGTACAGAGGTTATAGAGCACGAAATCAGATGTTTATAGCTAGTCATTAATACGTGAAAAAATTTCCGGTATCAACTATTTCTTTATACCACCACCAATACACAAAATTGTTTTAACAATAACACAGAAAAAATATCTACTTCAGAGAATTACTATCCAGGCTTGTTCTGATTTAATCCATGTACAATTGGTTCTTTTTATTATTCATTTGTTTGAACACTTTTTCGCAAAATAAACTTAAATTATATTATTTTTAAGCAATTCCAAAAGACAAGCGATTTTAGAATTATCACTATCGTAAAAACACCATATAATTAGTATGTATTTATAAATGATAAATTAAATCGATTTTCTCAAAAGTTGGATGAATATTTCACTCGTTTAAAAAAAAAAGAGTTAATTTCAAAGAAGAAGAGAATCAAGAAAAGTGTCTTCGGCACTTTATTATTTGATATAGAATGAGTTACGCTGTCATCTAACCCAAGAACATCTTCTTAACGATAAAGGAAATAAAGCGGTAATTTTCAACTTTTATCCTAACTGTTAAAGTGATGTCATTAAATTTAAATGTTAAGTTCTCTTCTTTTTACTTATTAACTCAATACCACACTTTATTCACTCTGCTCAAACACGAACTTTGAGTTTCCAGTAATAAATATGTGAATTTTCAATGCTTTACGTTGAAATCTCCATATTTTCCAATTTATCAATTTTCCAGCTTCTTCGTCGAAGTCAAATCTGTGAAAGAACAATTAAATGTTTCAAACAATTACAGAAACGTTTGTCTTAAGTCTTTAAATAAATTCTACATATAGTGTTAAAATGTTTTATTAGAGTAAAATTTGAATACAAGTACTTAGTTAATATAGTAAGCGTTAGAATTTAGCTTATCAGAAGAAATATATATATAAAACACTGTTTCACTAAACATATATCAAATGTTCTGAAAATGGAAATCGACTATATATCTTTGGGTAAAATCAAAAGTAGTGTTAAAAAAACTCGCCAAATTAAAATAACTATTAGTAAAACAAGAAAATGACGTTTCGGGCAACAGCCCTTCATCAGGTTACCACTGACGATGACACTGTTAATATAAGGGTTAGGTTGAAAGAACAAATATCACGTGACTCGAAGGCTCGAGAACATGTTCCTGAAGCTACAAATGAGATAATGGAAGTAACATAATAAAAAAATAATAATAAAAGTATAAAAATTTAATTATTGTTTCATCGTCACTGATAACCTGATGAAGGGCTGTTGTCCGAAACGTCATTTTCTTATATTACTAATAAAATTATTCTAATTTGGCGAGTTTTTCACGACTTTTTATTCTATTTTGCAGTTTGATATTTCCTCGCCTACACAATTATTTTATTACTCAAACTATATATCTTTGGGTATACATTATCAACTCAAGGTATTTAAGCCATATATAACAAAAAAAAACATAGAGACGCGCAGGATCTGATTCCTATAATATAGAGATACTCAGTATGCAACATCCTAAACACAAATACGTTCAATGAATGACATCCTAAATATAGAGACGTTCAATGACTAACGTTCCCAAACATAGAGACACTCAATGGCTAACACCTCAAACATAGAGACGTTCAACGTTTAACAACCTAAACGCACAGACAATTAGCGTCTAAAATTCTAAACACAAAGACACTCAACGTCTAACATTCTAAACATGGTTACACTCAGCTTCTAACAACCTAAAAATAGAGACACTCAGGCCTAATATCCTAAACATAGACATTCAGCGTCGAACAACCTAAACATGAGACACACAGGTCTAATACTCTAAACATAGAGACTGTCAGGTCTAATGTCCTAAACATATAGAAAGTCAGGTCCAATATCCTAAATATAGAGACACTCAGTGGCTAACATCCTCAACATAGAAACGTTTAGCGACTAACACCGTACAGAGGCACCCTGTATGTTCCTTGTATAAACAGTTTTGTATATATTGTATTATAACACTATGTGGTATAACGGAAAATGTTCTGTTAAAATTAATTAGTGAAATCAAATACTTTTCTTATTGTATTAAATCAGTTTCTTTTAACCAATTGACAACATGTTATACTTGAGGAAAATATGAAAAACAAAGCATGTCAATGTCTTTCAACGTCTACATTGAATTGTTTCATGGGTAGAACACCAGGTGCTCCTCTGTGGCTCAGCTGAAAGTGTAAAGGCTTATAACGTCAAAAACAGGATTTCGATAACCGTGGTGAGAACAACATATATAGTCCATTGTGTAGCTTTGTGATTAATAAAGAACAACAACAACAACAAGAAGAATACTAGTTTTTAAAGTACGGTATCTAATCGGCACGGTTATGTATTAGGAAAATAAACAGTTATTTGTTTCATTAAAGTTATTATAAAACATAAATAATAGCTAATACAAATATAACCACGATATTTTAGCTGACAGAAGTAAAGAACAATATTTTTGCAGAGAAATACCTAACCAGATTCCAATATTAAAGTTAAAACATGTAAAATAACGAATAATGTTGGTGGCAACGTTCGAAGTTCTATACTTGCTAGAACATAACTTTACTGAGTGAATGTCACTATAAGTGTAAAAGTTAGCAAATAATGATATGGGTGAACTATTAATTCTTTCTCAGTGACTATTAACTGTATATCGTGAGTGTGTCTCGTGAAGCAAAATGTCTACTGGAACGGCTCGAACCTTGTTTAGTCTGAGTAAAAGAAAAAAGAACGTTTAATTTATTTCATTGTTAATTGCTTTAAAAATAAACAACTGGATTACTTTTGTTTCGGGGTGAATCTTGTTTAGGAATTTTCGATACTTTTCGATATATTTTCTGAAACTACAAAACGAAAAAAAAATATTTTCACGCCGCATACTATAAACATACGATATTATGTATTCAGTAAAACGCATTTAACTGATGATATCGAGAACACATGATAGTGTGTCTTGAGTAAAGCGAGTAAAACTGATATCAAGAACAGACGGTAGTGTGTCTTCAGTAAGTTGCGTCAAACTGATATCGAGAACACACGATAATGTGTTTTAAAATACGGTTCATGATAACAGAAAGCTTTTTATCATATATTATCCACGGTAAAAATTTAACCTCCCAAAGAAACACTTTCAAGTATTTCTATAATTTCCTGAAAGGCTACATGCATATACTTGTTGTAAAATATCATTGGACGGTACGCTTTAATTAATAACAGAACTTCAATACATTTCTAGTTTGTTACAATCATTCTTGTTGTTATTCTTAGGCCAACATTTCTCAGCTTAAAGCTTTAACTATGTCCACATGAAACGTACTATACCCAAATATCGGTTACATCTGCTATTATGTATCTTTCGATACTTACAACATGCCACTGCATGTCTGGCTTGACGTCACCTGTGGGAAATTCGACGATTTTACTAATTTAGAAATGGTTGTTACCATTGCATAGAGCTATAGCTGAAGTACAGAGTAAGGTTAGGTGGTATTATTTGATATGTCTAGCAAAGTAACTTTTGTAATCTTACATGTGTTACAAAATATAAAGTTTCAACTAATAATACATTATGTTTGTATAATTGACCAAATTGTTTTCCAATACTTAATACTACACGAGTGAAGATGGTCCTTTATAACTTTGTAGGTATAGCGGTATAGGTACATACCATAGTTATATTGGGTTATATTGACTGACTAAAACCGTCAGTGGTCAAACGTGAACACTTGCAGTGACCCAAGAAGTAAACAACTGGAAATCAGGTGACCAATGGTCAAGAGATTGATCACTTGTAAATTAAGTTACTTATGTTTAAAGTTGAAAATAGATGTATTTCGGGAATATTTATTTTATTCTATTAAGAAGAAAATATGTTATTGGTACACTATGTCAAATAGAAAAACAGTAAGGCTCTGAAGAGAAGTAAAACAACAAGTAAAGTGTAAGTGTAAGGCAATGCATACATGCATATATAAATCTTGCTACATAACTGAAATACTAACATTATGCGCAAGGTTCTCAGTTTATTAATCTATATGAGGTCTTACTCGAGCATTTTCGAGACATATTTAGAAAAAAGTCTGTTTTCTAAGAGTATTTCACGAACTATTTCATATCTTAAGAGTTTTTTAAAGTTCTTTCCTAAGTCAGTACTAAAGATAAAACATGATAATTTCGTAAGATATTTTCTAAGTGTTAACATAAAGCCATCTTAGAGATGTCTTGCAAATAATAAGTTAAGAAGTCTCCCCCGGTGAGTCAGCAGTAAGTGTACGAACTTACAATGCTAAAATTCGGAGCTCGATTCCCCGCGGTGGAGAAAGTGCCGATTGTGCAAATAACAACGATTTAAGAATAGCTTAAAACACAATGTGTCAGGAATATATGGAGCTTTTAATCAAATTAGATGGTCATTTATGTTAAATTGTAAAAAAAACGTAGCCAATGTTTGTTAATCACACTTTCTTTTAGTTTACATACAGGTAACATATGTTTTTCAGTTAATTACGAAAAAACAATAATCTAAAACATTATAAATCATATACAACTTTTTTCTAGCCACAAAATTGTTAAAGTTTGATTAACAACGGCCACCTTTTTCTATATGTTTTAAGTTACAAAAATATTTAAAAATATTATATAGTAATTTATTTATTCTACACAATTTTAGGAGGCGACCATGTTCAGTTCTATTTTTAGACACCTATTCAACTATCGTACAATTGGAAAAGAAACATTTTATAGGATACACTTAAGAAAGGTCTCTTAAGTTTTCTTAGGAAAGATTTCTTTCCCAAGATGATTTCCTGAAACTAGACTCATATCTCTGGTATAAATTTTTTCAATGCTTTTCTTATAAATATGTCCCCCGGTGGGACAGCGGTAAGTCTGCAGATTTACAACTGTAAAATCAGGTGTTCGATTCCCCTTGGTGGACGCAGTAGACAGTCTAATGGGGTTTTTTATAAGAAAATACACACACTCTTATAAATATTTTTCAATAGTTATTATGAGTAAAAGTTTTCTGTCTTGGTAGCTAGTAAATATATTTAGGTTATATATATATATATATATCATAACCAGGTGTCATCACTTTGCCAAGAATATTATTATATTACGACAAAACAAAACAACAACAATGCGCTGGGTTTATATACCACTCTCTACTCATTGAGAAGCTACAATACGCGAATTTAATACACTACACTTCCGTCATTGATGACTGCAACCACTATAAAACCACCAATTGATAAAGTACAGCTATAGCATATAAAATCAATACACAACACTTCTGTCATTGATGACTGCAACCACTATAAAACCACCAATAGATAAAGTACAGCTATAGCATATAAAATCAATACACCATTCTCTCATCATTCACAATAACAACACATTATTTGTTTTGTAATTAAGCACAAAGCTACAGAATGGGCTATATGTGCTCTGCCGCCAAGGATATCGAAACCCGGTTTCTAGCGTTGTAAGTTCGCAGACATACTGCTGTGCCACTGGGTGGCAACAATACATCAAACTAATACACCATTTTCTCATTATTCACAATAACAACACATAAAGCTCATATAGCAATCACCGATGAGCTAGCTATGACACGTGAAGTTCACATAACACTGAAACTATGATGTAAGCTGTAAATATTTTCTTTTTGTAGCTATATTAGATTTAAAAATTGTGTTTCTATACAAGATAATATACTGGTT